AACCAGTCGATTATTAGAAATACGTATCTGTTTGTGTTATTTGCCATATGGCAAAAAATTGCCCGAATTATAGCAAAAGCATCCTCCTCTTCCTCTTCTTTCATATCAATCACGTTCCCTACTCGCAAGGATACCCGTTCCTCAGCCTCTTCGCCATCTAGTACTTCATATGACACATAATCATAAAATTCCAGACGCCTGTTAATTAACGCTCCTTTCATATCCATATCATCTGAGTATGCAGCAGAGAGGTGGTGGAACAGGGTGTTATCTGGATCTAGTATTTTTGTAAACCCTGCTCCAACTATTTGCGTGCGATCCCACTTTTTGCGTAATCTAATATTAATAAAGTGAGGATCGTGTGATACCATGTGAGTTGCTAGAAAGAAAATAAAAATTTTTAGTGTCAATTACAGTACAATGTAACATCAGAAAAAAAAAATAATAATTTTTTAGTGTCAATTACAGTACAATGTAACATCAGAAAAAAACGTCACCAAAACTAGCAATTCTAACCTTCAACATCCGTGTTATTTTCTTCCAGTAATGGTTTCTCAACTGCATACCAACCAGACAGAAATTTGCACAAGAATTCCTTGCACGTTACTTGCGCTATCCATTTTCTATTTATAAAACGTGGATCTTCACCCTCATCCACCAGATGTCGGAGCGCTTGAACGGTGTTGTATCTTTTAATAAGGTCTAACTCGATACTTTTGTGGTTAGTGTGCCCTACCACCCCTTTGAATATACGATGTACCATTTCTTTAACCCCTACTGACGTGTTGACAAGGGTTGCGAAATTTTTTGCATGTTGGGGTAAATGAACGTTTAGATGGAGATTTGGCACGTTTGCAAAATCCTCAGGAAATACCTAGAAATTGTTTGTATTAAATTAATCAAAACCGTTATATTTAGTAAGAAAATTTTCAAATTTACCTCAGTCAGAAGACGACTTTGCTCTCTTAAAGTTTTTTCAAGAGCTTTATAGGCATTTGTATCCATTGTAACTGAGAAGGCAAGCTTCAACGTTTTTGCCTCAGTTACCCAGACTTGTAATACCCTGGTGGCAACCTGATCAACACGTGACAGATTTAATCGTTCTTTTATCAATGTTAATGCATCGCTTTTTATATGACGCCATGTGAGGAAGCGTTTGAGAATGAATGGCATCAACATCGCTAATCGAAATATATCGGAGAACATAAAACTCTGTCTATGCAATATAGGGTTCGGCAATTTTGACCATCGTGGTGGTTTTTCTATTGACTTCCAGTGATATAGCCATTCTGATTCACCGTTGGAAGTCAACAAATGAAATGTCGTATCCAATAGTCTCCGCGTTTTACCACCCATTGCATGATATGAATCATGAGGCGTTTGTGTATGACAATCCCACATTATGTTTTCTAATGGATGCCGATCTACAGATATTCCATATTTAGTAGCAC